GCTAAAGAAGGGGGAGCCGGTGGTGATCATGGCTGAGGGGAAGGAGGAGGCCTGTGCTGTTGGTGTGCTGGTTGCCGGAACTGAGGAGGTGAAGAAGGCAGGGAAGGGTCCGGTTGTGGAGGATGCGCACTTCCTGGGAGACGGACTTTGGAGGCTAAATCTGGATTGAGAGGTACAAAGAATCATCTTCCGTCGTACTGAGGCGAAAAGGTTGGAGAAAGGGTCACCATGTAGACTTCGATGGGGTTAGGAAGCCACAGCCATCCTTGACGGCGGGATCGACGATTGAAGACACCTGCAAATGGCGTGCTTGGCGACTTCTGGAAAGAGAAAAACGTAAAGAAATATGGCTCGCAAAATAAGGCACGCCGTGTTACGGTCACAACAAGAGCGAGGAACACCATCAGAATTTTTGCCCAAATCTGATTTCAAAAGCTATCTGATTGGGGTTTTTTTTTAACTTTACATGTGATTCCTGCAGGACATCCTGACTGACCATGCTGATTCCATCACATCATAATTCGTAATGTCCTTCATACTCGACATCTGTATGTATACAGAGAACGAGCTTTTCCAGTCATAAAATCATCGCAACCACATAAAGCAATAAAGCAAAGATACCTTGGTCCCTTCCGAAAATAGTACACACTTTCCTTCTTATTGAGGAGTCTGTCCGTCGGTGGGCGGCACATGCTGCAGTTCCGAAAGATCGAAGGCTGCTAAACATGATCAAGACGGCAAGACCGATCAGATGAGAAATCCAGAGCCATCAAAGACCCCTAAACCTGCCGAATATGAGCAAGAAGGTGGTGGCGAGCTTGTGAAGTCGCCCTAGTTCTGCTCTCCGACGTTCGCAGCCTGGCGAGCCTCAACACGGTGGCGCAGATCGTGCATCGAGACCGCAGCAAGGAACTCGGGGCGCAGCTGTCCGGCAGCCTCGAGTCCGAAGCGGAGCTCGAGGGGGCAGGAGTCCGAGACGAGTCGAGCCAGCTGGCTGGGCAGCACAACCTTAGGCAACGGGTTGAATCGAGTCTGCATATAAGCCTCCTGAATGTCCAGGAGCTTGGCGGTCTGCAGCTGCAGGGGAGCCAGGGCCGGGATGGGGAAGCGGCCGTTGTTGCGACGATCCTCAGGGACGTTCTGGAGCATGATAGCCGTGTTGTAGTCGCGCATCCAATTGGCGGTGAGCTCCTGGATCTTGGCTTTGGCAAAGGTCTCGACCCAGCCCTTGATGCAAGGCATGCCAAGGAAGTGGGCCATGACGTAGAGGTCGACCATAGCCGCGAAAGAGAGGTCGCCCGAAGCAGGAATGGGCAGACCGCCGGCCTGGACCATCTCGTAGAGCTGGATAAAGGTGATCGTGGCTGACTTCATGGGCAGGCTCTTGAAGAGGTCGGTGACGTTGAGACGGTCCACGCCGACCATGCGATCCATCGTCTTGAAGGTCTCGGAGAAGTCTCTAAGCAGCTTGCGAGCACAGATGAACTCGATCTCGCCGCCGGCCTCCTCGAAGACGAGTGAGATCTTTGGGCCGGCAAGGCAGATCAGCTTGTACTCATCCCAGGTGCGGAACTTATGGACCTCAGTGGTGAGACCGGCAAGCTGAGACAGTCAGTAATGTCCAGGTGTTGACCGAGACCAAGAGCAAACTTACTTGACCATCAACGGTGTAGATGTGCGGGAGGCCGTGGTTGTTGTTGTCGTTGTTGTCATACTCAGGTGCATTCTCATACTGGGGAAGGTTGTCGTGCTGAGGCTCATCAGCTGGGTCATGAATGCCCGACTCGTCGCCGTCGACCATGAAAATCACGAGACCAAGGACTGCGCCCTCATCGATGTGGAACTCCGGCTGGGCAATGCCATCACCCTGGATATTGGCTTGGCCTGTCAATGAAATGAATGTCAGTTTCGATATTAGGTTGAAACCATGCCTTCAAATGGTTACGTACCGGCTTGGTTAACTGGTCCGGCTGGCTGGTCAGTGATGGAAACACCGTGGAGCTCAACAGAGATAACATCCAAGTCCAAGTTGACCTGAGCATTGAGAATCTCAGCCGCAGTGGCAGAGTGATGATGACCGTTGGCTCCGGCGCCAGGTCCTACATTGGTATCCTCCATCATGGCAGAGACTTTCGTGTCTTGGGCGAAGGAAGATGGTTAAGGTTGGTAACTTGTTTGTGTATTAGAAACACAAGTACTTGATGTGCGAGTGTATCAAAGGCACAAAGCTGCGAACAGGTGATAAAGTATGGATGACTGGCTGTTGGGCTTTGTGATAGAAGCCCTCAAGCAGGATCAAGATGGAGACTCTGGTGGGGAAAGGATAGAAAAGAAAGAAAAGCAAAGGGAAGGAGAGGAAGAGTTTTTGGGGAGGTTATGAGGGTGGAAAAGAAAGAGAAGAGGAAGTAGTTTGAGGGCCGGTAAAATACCTATAGTGGAGAGGAAGTGCTGTCGAAGTAATCGACAATAAGGTCTTGCAACGTCGAGGTTTGGTATTGTTGCGCGGCGTAGAACAGGGTAGTCTTCGACGTGACCAGACAGTACCTGTCGAGGGCACTCCCGAACAGCAGTTATTCGTAAGAGCAGAAGAGAAGGGCATCCTATTGTCTGGCATCATTATTGCTGTAACTGGAGGCGCGCCCTCCTATTTCACACTTGTGAACTCATGCGACTTAGACCATCAACCTCGCAGCCTCAGGAGGCAAAACGATTTCGCAGCCGCGTCCGCCTCGTGCGGTTGGTCCTAAAGATAGAAATTGTGAAGCGTTGCGAGGTTTACCCACAGGCAGCCTCGCAGCCTCGCAGCCGTGTCAGGTTCCAACTCGAAGGTAAAATGGTACAGCACTAAACTTTCACATGCAAAGGAACAGCATCGAGCCTCATCTTCACTAAAGAACGCAGCCGCCTCAAGCCAGTCATAGCCTGACAGTAATGAGATGTCACAAAATTTCATGCTCGGATAGGTGCAGTCTGGATGTCAGTGGCTTATAAGTCGCAGGCTTCAACATTTGTAGAGTCGATCATCGGAAGCCTTCTGGTGAGACGCTCAACCAACCATTTTCACAAGTTTGAATAGCCAGTTTGCTCTTTTATCTCTTTCATAGATTTTCACTGTACAGAAGAACCAAACTTGAAAGGTAGAAATGAAATCATCTTTCGAACGCGCACAAGCTTGTGACAAGACAACAAAACATTTCATGATGGAGGTCAAAAGTCGACGGAATATATTGCGTACGTTAGATCTAAGGTAGTCTAGTGATAAACGTCTTGAGTCTGGAGACCCGGGGAAAGTGGAGTCAAGTACAAGGTCCCGTCGCACGAGCCAACTTCAAGCAAGGGCCAACTGGATGACGATATGTCCTTGGCCGCCTGCCCCAGGTCAGCCTATCAGCGTCTGCAGGTAGTAACCCCTCTGTCCCGCGGCTGCCAGGAAACACGACATCTCGAACGCCAGTTTCATTCAACCTTTCCATGTACCTCGCACGAACAGACTGCTTGACCTTTTCCTGCTTGTCAGCCAGATAGGCTTCAACAATAACCATGGCTTCCCGGGGCGTTTCGGTGCTGAAATTTGTCGGCACCGTATCTCTCGGCCTTTTGACTGTGAGTTGGACCATGCTTTCGTAACGCGCTGGTTTTGTTTGGGCAGGAATCAGGCGAGGATGGGCAATCATGACACGGCGAAACACGGAGCCCTCATCGAAATGCGTTTATGGTGGTTGCTTCCGAGTTGATGGAACGGGGACGACCGCTACGATGCTCTCGCTTGTGGACCTAAGCGATAGCCTTTGGAACGAAAGCGTCAGATGCCTTAGGATATTGTCAAAGAAGGAGTCATGAGCTACATGGAATGGAGTTTGGCTGCGACGCAAATGATGGGGCATATTCCAACACAACAACGCAGCTACGACCCTAGCGGCTCGATGAACCTCGCGATCGAAACGATAGTACCGTCCTGGCTGTGACCAGTAATGGGGTGGATGGCTTGATCGCCTGTGTTGCTCCGCTGCCTTGCTTGCGCTTGTCACGGTTGACAGACCGAAGAATACTAATCTTCGTTTCATAGGGTCTCTCATACACACTCTCGACCCTGACCGTACCATCGCTCCTCGAGCTACCGTCAGCAAGCTCAGCCGCCAAGGCATTCAACTTCCTCGTATCCACAGCCAAGAAGCACCTCGGAACGCTCACCAGCGTCTCCGCCTCGTCTTTCCTCCTCGCCTTCCTCATCTCTCCCAAACCAGTGCGCCATCCCTACCTCCTCTACACCTCCATCCTGGTAGCCAGCTCTGGCTTAGTAGTCTCCGACTTCGTCGCCCCCTACCTCTTCATCACCAAGTCTACCTCGTCGTCAAGCCCTGCCGCCACTCTCTCCGCCACCGCCAAGAAGCAGAAGAAGGAGCGCGCCGCCAAGCGCGCTCAGATGGAAGCTAGCTACGAGGTCCTCGGCTCCAGCTCCAGTGCCCACAGCGACGAGGGCACAGCCTCTGCCAGCGGGGAGGATGTCGAGGTCGAGGACGAAGTTGCCCAGGACATCAATGGCGAGGAGGTCCGCACTGAAGTTGAGGGATTCCTGAAGAAGCAGATGGTCCAGACTGCTATCAGCGGACTTGGCTTCCTCATGGCTGTGGTTGGTATTTGGGGTGATGGTGTCGCACAGGTGTTCCAGAATGAAGTCGTCGTTATCCAGGCATGAAGGGTTGCGCAAGAAAGATAGAAAGCGATGGACACACTTCGTGGAGTACTATTGACCTCTCCACTCTGGATGTTTGCCATGGCCTGACTTCGCGATGATCAGGGTGCCGAAGGAACCATCACCATTCTCGAAATTTGTCGCTGCTTTACCTTAGTTGCTATTCCATAGTACGTCCACTTGACAATGAATACATGCCATGTCTTGTCTTCAAGGGCAATCACATTAAGAGTCCAAGCGCTGGTTTGCAGGCAGAGTATAGACAAAAAAGAAATTGCCCGTCCGAGGCATTCTACTAGCAAAGATGTGACCGATGCAGGGTTCGAACCTGCGACCTTGTGCGTCCATATGTTCTATCGTAACGAAATCTTACGATAGCTGTGAGGCACACGCTCTAAACCACTGAGCTAAACGGTCGTCATGTTATCATGGTAGCTCTTGTCATTAGATGTCTGAAAGAAGAGAATGGCACAGATGATGTGTCTTCCCGGAAAGAACGATCAGAAGAACTACCACGAGGACGTCGCTGCAGCATGGATCGAAGAGGTACCTTCGTGGTCTTGCTCTCTCAGAGAGGATCTTGAAAAAGGTAGCGATTCCAGAAGACAGCTATGAAGCCAGCTATGCCCACTTGCTCTATCTGTGGCGAGCCCAGAGTATCCCTGACTACAACGAAGGGATCAAAGCATGGAAAAGACATTAATATTTTACATTCTAGGAGGACCAGCTCAACTGTTCTGCACTTTTCAGTACATATCTACTCGGCACCCATGGCCGCAGCTGGCCAAAGACAGCCAGTACAATATATAAGAGGGTGTGCTGCCTCGCCAATGACCATCCATCTCAGGCCTCATCGAAGTGGGATGTGTACGAATAGCATACCACCACGATGCACAGAGCACGCAACCAAGACCTGATTTGTTCACAATCACAGCAACTGATACTCATATGGGAAAACACCTCATGTTGCCTTGTATTCGAACTTGGGTATCAGTAATCGGGCTATGCTGTTGTGGTCGGGTATATATGTGACGATGATCCAACACTTAGCCAAGTGGTGACATAAAACCCAACCCAAAAGCTCCCCAAAGATGCGATGCAAAACAACCCGCTAGATCGCCCAACGCACAACAAGGCTCGTTCCACCCAAAAAAAAAGAAGCCAAAAGCTCCAAAGACAGATAGGTATCCCAAGAATCCGCGAACATGCACCCGCTAAATGGTATTCCATCACAAAGATCACGACCCCGTCAACTTCTTCCACCAACTGCTCCGGGGTGTCGTATCCATAAACACACTCCCGCGATGCCCCCTCCTCTCGTCGCTCCCGTCAGAGCCAGCCCGACGGTCCCTCTCCTTCTCCCTCATCTCCCGGCGCGCATGCCGTCTGCGGTGGTCATCGTACTCCTCCCCGCCGGTCCCCTCGGCATCCGCATACCGACTACGGCGTTTAGCTCTTCGCTCCTCTCTACGTCTTGCTTCCTCGTCATCCTCTGGAGCCTCGGTGGAATTCCCTCCATTCGGTCCATCCTCCGGGGGCGGCGGCGCGTCCGAGTGATCCTTGACCCAAGAATCAGTACCCGAATGCGGCCACCCGGCGCTCTTCCTCCTGTCCTTCCCGCTGCTGCGAGGATAGACGAACCCCTCATCAGCAGGCTGCTCAGACCGTCGTCGTGACGACCTGTCCTTGTCCTTATCACGACTTCCGCTGCCATTCTCAGCAGCTTCCCGCGCAGCACGTCTCGCCTCGCGGCGTCGTCTGCGCTCCTCGTCTTCTCCGGCATCTGTGTCAGCCTGCACGCTCCTTCTGCGCTCTTCGCCAACCCCGCGTTCTCTTCTCGCGCGTTTCCGCTCCGCGCGTTCGGCTTCTTTCTCCTCGGCAGCGCGACGCTCAGCTTCCTCGCGCTTGCGCTGTTCACGTCGTTCCATCCTGCGTGCTTCGCGTTCTTCCTGTCGCCGGGCTTCCTCGGCTTCTTCGGCTTTCCGTCGCTTCTCGCGCCTCGCGTCATCTTTAGCGCGACGTGCCTCCTCCGCCGCTCGCTCGGCAGCTTCTTTTTCTGCGCGTTTGGCGCGGCGGGCTGCGCGGCGAGCCTCCGCGTCCGGATCGGGCGTGCCCGCCTCTTCGCCGTCGGTCGTAATGATCGTATCCCGTCGACGAGGTAGGGGCCGAGGCTCGGATTTGGGGGTCGAGAGTATCCCGCCGAAGAGTGAACCGAAAGCGGATTTCTTGGTGGCGCTTGAGTTTGAGCGTTTGAGAGGAGGAGGCCCGGGGGTTGCGTCGGTGGGGTCGACCATGACTATATCTTCGTCGCGGTGGTATTGCTGTTGGGAGTTATGGTTAGTACGATGTCCTGAATGAGCGGAACTATGGGAAGGTGGGTTACGAACCTTTGACCTTCGCCGGTCCGACTTATCAGGGACCGGAGTGGCATCTGCGACACCGACCATCACAATATCATCATCATCGTCCACGCGCTTTGGCTTGCGCTTGCTGGCAGATCCGCCGACGCCGAGTATCTTGGCTGCCTTGGAGGACATTTCCGGCACCATCTCGGGCGGGGGGCTGACGATGCCATTTGTCATGTCGACAGAGTGTCTCCGCGAGCTCGACTTGCCGTTGACGCCAGGGCGCTTGTCGCGTGTGCTAGCCGAGCGGGAGAGCGGAGGTATGCTTGTAAAGACGCTCGGTGTTCTAGGTGGCTTCGGTGTACTCTTGGAACGCTCCGAGCGCTCCGCCTTATCCGACGTTGAACCCTTCGAGGACGACTTGTCTTCCTTGTCGGCCGACTTCTTCCTCTTGGAGCTAGACTCTTTCTCTCTCTCCTTCTCTTTGCTCTTGGGCTTGGAGGAGGCTTTCTTCTCGTCTTTGCTCGGCGTAGCCGTCCACGCGCCCCATGATGAGCCCTCACGGTTTATCTTGGGCCGCTCTTTCTTGGAGGACTTCGGCTCCGGCGGAGGTGTTGGTGGGCCATCAGTCGGAGGCATGGGGACGAAGGGCGGAGGAGGAGGTGGTGGAGCGGGTGCATCGACGATCTTCGAAAACGAAGAGGCCTTCTTGCTCTTCTTGCTGGATTTGGGAGGAGCCATGTCGATGATTTCCACTATCTCGTTCTCGTCCTCATCTTCGGGGAAGCTGCCGGGAAGATCTGACTTGGTGCTCCGGGGATTTTCCTCGACGATGACGATTCCCTTTGACTTTTTGGAGCTCTTCTTCTTATCCTCCTTGGGTGGCGCAACTGGCGCGGCAGGGGGAGGTGGCGGAGGTGGTGGTGCAGGAGGAAGTGCAGCGTCCTCGTCGACTGACTCACCGAAGGCTTTAAGTCGGTCAGCAATCTTACCTCCGACGGGTTTCCGCGCCTTCATTGATTTGGAAGAGGCAGCATTAGGACTCGTGTCCTTCCACACCTCGGTCAGGAGCGCGCCAGCGGCCGCGCCAGCAATGGTGGCTTCTAGAATGCCAGTACCCTTGGATGACTCAGCCGATCTAATCTCTCCCGACCCACTGGATTTAGATTTACTCGCGCTAGCGTCAGGCACGGACGAGGCGAGCTTTCCCGCTTTGGGCTTAGCAGTGGTTTTCTTTCCTGCACCCCAGAAACTGAATGGGTCGTCCTTGGCTTCGTCCTTTGTGGAGTCTTTGGGGGGATCGGCGAGCAGCTCCTCCACCTGTTCGGCCGTCAGGTCGAGATCCTTGTCGAGGTCATCGTCCAGGAGGTCTTGATCCGGCTCCGGCTCCGGTTCCTTCGACTTGGACTTGGACTTCTTCTTCGACTTCTTGTCGGAGGCGGGTTCAGCTTGCTCTTCGGCTTCTTTGGCCGCAGCATCGGCGGCTTCTTTGGCAGCGTTCTCTTCAGCCTCTTTGGCGGCCTTCTCGTCCGCGCGGCGGTTGGCATTCCCGGTAAGACGGTCGTACTCTGCCTGATCCTTCTTGAGAAGCCCCTTTGTTCCCCGTTTTGCCTTCTTCACGTTCAACGCAGCGAGCTGCTCTTCTTCCTTGGCGACCTCGGCAGCCTCAGCATCCTTCCGCGCCTGCTCCTCTGCCTCTAGACGTGCCTTTTCTTCAGCTTCTTTCGCGAGTCGCTCCTGCTCCTCTGCCTCCGCTGCAGCTTGGCGTGCGGCCTCTTCCTCAGCTTCTTTGGCCGCTTTTTCCTCCGTGCGGCGGTTGGCGTTCTTGGTCAGACGGTCGAATTCTGCCTGGTCCTTTTTGAGGAGCTTGCCCTTCTTAGCCTTCTTGGCCTTCAAAGCCGCGAGTTCGTCCTCCTCCTTGGCGATCTCGGCAGCCTCGGCGTCTTTGCGAGCTTGCTCCTCTGCCTCCTCCTTCTCCTTCTTGTCCTGGGACTTGGTTTTGGTCAGAGTCAGGGATGGCTCGTCATCCCAGACATTTTTCTCTATGTCGTTTTCAGCATCCGCCTCATCCAGTGGGGGCGTCGGCGCAGGCGGCGGCGGTGGTGGGATCGCGTCTTTCGACTTACCCTTCTTCTTCTTGGAGCTTGATCCCCAATTGGCCCAGTCGTCGTCAGCCTTCTCGTCCTTGGTCTCCTCGAACGAGTCCGGCATAACGGATACGACATTGGTCTCCTCGACAACCTCAACGGGGACATTGTTCTTGGCGCTGGCCTTGGACTTCTTCTTTTTGGAAGACGACGTAAGACCCCATGTGTCAGGTTCCTCGATCGTGTCTGGTTTCACAGACTCCAGCTCAGTCTTGCTCTTCTTGTCACCAGTGCTCCAAGAGGTGAAGAAGTCATCGTTGAGAGCCTTGGAGCCACCGCCGTCCTCAGGCTTATCCAAGTCGATCAGGGCGTCTGACGTCTTCTTGCTCTTCTTCTTGTCCGTCTTCTGGCCCCAATTCGCCCAATCATCATCAGCTGCCTCCTTGACCGGCTCAGGCTCAGGTTCTGGATCCGCATTCTTGCCTTTCTTCTTCTTGTCTTTCTTGGAAGTTGAGAAGCCCCAAATGTCGTCCTCGGCCGCCTTCTCTGGCTCGGGCTCGGGTGCTGGCGGCTCTTCTGGTTTGACCTCTTCGACGACACCCTTCTTCTTCTTCTTGTCCTTCTTGGATGTCGAGAAGCCCCACATATCATCCTCCTCCTTGTTTTCCTCAACCGGTGCCGGCTCTGGGACCGGCTCGGGGTCGGCGGTCTTACCCTTCTTCTTCTTGTCTTTCTTGGTCGCGGCAAAGCCCCAGATGTCGTCCTCGACCTTTGTCTCTGGTTCGGGCTCAGGCGCAGGTTCAGGTTCCGGCTCCTTGATGGGCTCAGGCTCAGGCTCGGGGTCCTTGTTCTTGCCCTTCTTCTTCTTGTCCTTCTTGGTAGTTGCGAAGCCCCACATGTCGTCCTCTTCCTTCTTCTCAGGCTCCGGTTCCGGTTCCGGTTCCTTTACCAGTTCGGGTTCTGGCTCGGGGTCCTTACTCTTACG